GAGGATAAGCAGCGTGCTTCTCAGCAGTTCTCCAAACTTCAAGCAGCCATGAAGGTTTTGGGCATAACTCCAGATGAGCAGAGAGCCTTCTGGCTTGTTCTTGGTGCCATCTACCATCTTGGATCTGCTGGAGCAACTAAAGGTAAGGATTTTGATTTTAAAAAGTTATACATATAGCACAGTTCATAGAAAACATGTCAGTAGAATCGTCACAATCCTTAACATGATTCTGACCAAAAAATATGAAAAAGATCTATAAACACACTTTTAACACCTAGTAGCAGGCGCTAAAATAGCTTTAAGTGTTTTTCATGCTTCATACAATACTGTAGGTACGATGAGGTGAGTGATGCAAGGCAGCTGTAATCCACATGAACTGAATAATGCAACTGCACATTTTAACAGTGTCGTCAGACTTTGCAACAGCACATTGGTTAAAGCAAAGGTTACTACACTAGAGCAACATGCATGGCTATAGTGAATAAATGTATGTTCAGGTTTTTTTTTCTATGAGTACACTGATGCCTTGCTTATAAATAGACTAATTTATATATTAAAACAAAATATCATTATGATACAATTGGACTCATAATAATAGTAATTCTAATTATTAGTAACAAGACTTTGTTAATGTCATAATTTTCATGATGCAACTGCATGTAATTGTAGTAGGTTAGCTTGTTGCTGCAAAGATAACAAGATAGCTTTATAGTTGATAGCAAATGTACTGTATCTAGTATATGTAAAATGTACAGTTCAATCTTCTTTTACATTAAAACAATACCTACTAAAATCACAAGGACTTTTATCTGCCTTTGCAGTCTTCTCTTGCAGGACTATTTCCACCACTACCTTTTTCGGTTATACAAGATTGCACGCCATTTTATAAACTATCTTCCGCACCTGCCCGCCAGTCTTTTGTAAGGCTGTGGTCAATCATCTGGGGAGAGTTTTGGAAAGAAAACAATTTAAATCCATGTTGCATCTGCTTCTGGGAAGAAAGACACAGCACACTTTGTTCTTTCTTCTCTTAGGCTGTGTGTCCTTCTGCAGTCCTTCTGTTTATCCCATGACACTTGTAAAGTAAACAGTGTGTCATTGGAGACAAGCTACTACCAGAAAAGTCCACACTACTTTTAGATTAGACTTAATCTGCTTGTCTGAGAAAAGATTGCATTTGGTAATCAGGTGCAGCTTCATAGTAAAACACTAGAGGGCAGCAGACATCTCTACCACACCGAAACCCTGGCTTCTTGTTCCTAGCTGTGCTCAATACTTGACCTCAAATGGGCAACTAGTACCAAACTTTCTTAGAGCTTTCCAATACACTCTTGAAGTATTCTAACTGTAATTCATTTTCCACAACTGCCTTTCAACTTGCATATGTGCATATCTATTAGAGACTCTAATTTAAATGTCTTTGTATTTGTCATTGCAGTGCTCTCACTTCATAACAGGAATATATATTAAAAACAAATGCAAGCTGTGCTGATGAAATGGGAGAAAGCACAGTCTGAAAACATGTCTCCATATTTGAATCTAGTCTAATGCTGTTTTATGAAGTTTGAAAAGAGAAAATGTCTTGTTGTTTTCATTAAGTTAACTGGAGTTTAAAATTTAGTATAAATCCAAAATGAAGTAAAAGTTCAATTATTATTTATTGTGGCTCAATATAATGTAAATTTATTTCTAAAACTGTAGTTGTGCCACTGTTTCCTCTGTAGTCTTCTTTATTTTGTGTATTTCACAAAGATTTGAGCCACTATTGCTAGAGAATGCTTTTAGTGCCTGTTCCTTCCAGCTGCGTGAGTGTCAGCTTGACCACAGACATAATCCTAGCCTGTCAGACAGTGGATTGTCAGAAAGCTACCAGGCTAGCCTTGTGCCTGGGGTGCTTGGCAGAAGGGCTAATGGAGGTTTTCATGCACGTGTCTCAGCTGGCAGGAAACAATTTGCACGTCATGAGTGGGCCCAGAAGGCGGCCTACCTGCTGGGCTGCACCCTGGAGGAGCTCTCCTCTTCCATCTTCAAGCACCAGGCCAAGGGCACCCTGCCCAGAGCCAGCACCACCCGCCAGGGCCCAGACGAGTGCGGAGCTGGAGATGCAGGTAAACCACAACACACTACTGTCACTGGCACTCACCCACTGTTTGTCACTCTACTCAAAATATAAGCTCTCTAGTAAATAGGCCTTATCTAAGTAATGAATACCACAACCTTACAATGTCTATTGACAGATAAATACACCATGTAAGGACAATTCATTTTGTATGCACTCTTTATGTATTGTCCTTGTAACTGTAATCTTCTTGCATTGATTTGTCACAGGTATTTTGGCTTCACTGACACTTTGAAGGACATAAAGAAAACAGTTCAGACTTTCATTGTGAAGTGACAGCAGTAACCTCTGTCTAACTTTGATTGTTCTTACCACTAATACACTTTTAGAGTACTGCACCTGCAGTTATGGCATTGTATTAGCTATAGGGGGCTCCTGATTATACTCAGATGACACAAAAACGCGTGAACAGTCCAAAATTACACCACTTTGCAGAGTCAATTTTAGACTCAGTTTGGATATTTTATGAAATGTGCTCAAATACAATACCACTCACAGCCTAATGGCCATAATTGCTGCCTTGCTTTTACAACGGAAAACGTCTTGTAATGTGGCCAGCTGTAATGCAGATTCAATGTTGGGCATTTTTTATCATGAACTGGTGTGATTTCTTCTTTGTCTGGCTGTGTCTCTCAACAGGATCAAAGGCTACGGCTATGGAGTGCTTGGAGGCCATGGCATCAGGGCTCTACTCTGAACTTTTTACCATTCTTATTTCAATGATAAATCGGTTAGTAAGGACAATTCTGTACTTTACACAGTTGCATTTCTATGTTTTGCACATTGTATTTCTTAAAAAAATATTGTGCATAATTCAAGAAAGTTATGCCACTGCAGATAAACTCTTTGTCTGACTACTACTACATTTTTCCATTGTGCTTCAGGGCCTTAAAATCCAGCCAACACTCACTGTGCTCCCTGCTCATTGTGGACACGCCGGGCCTGCAGAACCCTCGTCTGGCCAAACGGGAGTGTGGAGCTACATTTGAAGACCTGTGCCACAACTACACCCAAGAGCGACTGCAGACACTCTTCTACCAGCGAGCATTTGTGCAGGAGCTGGAGAGATACAAGGAGGCAAGTAGCTCATTCAGACATCAAACAAAAGTACATATTCTGTTTTATTAAGTATTCAATCAATATTGTTCAATACGATTGATAGAGGATTTCAGATATTGTTGCATAGGATATGTAAAGTTAATGAATAAAGTACATTATAGCAAACATGGCAAGGCAAGGCAAGGCAGTCTTCTTTGTAAGTGAAAGAACATTATATTACTATCACTAAGATTTAAGACTGAAGAATAATGTTGATACCATGCTGTTATAGTATTTAATGTGCCAATATTTTGCTCTTTTCTTAATGGTACTATGGTGTTTTTCCTCATCAAAAACACACCTGGAGTTTTGTTTTGTTTCATTCACACATTTAACACACATATCGTACATATTTAGGCTAAGTTAAACAGAAAGCGCCCTGTTTCACCTTGTGATGTCATGTGGTAATACAGGAAGTTCTCTACTGTGTTTTTACACTCCATTCACCTTCACTAGAATCATTTGGATAATTTCAGCCCTGGAATTGCCAATCTCTGCTGAATCAAAGATAAAAGGTAAATGTTAACTTGAAAACTACTTGAAATCACAAGGTGGAACAGAGCATTTTAAGCTTGGGAGATGTAGACAGTTACTCAAGCACGTGTGAATGAAACAAAACACAACTCCAGGTATGTTTTTGAGGAGGTAACAATGTTCTAACATGGCTTAAAGCTCTTAAACAGTACACATATCTGTTTATTTTAATTTTCTCTTGCTGCCTTTGTTGCTGGCTTACTCTCAAACACATCATCTCCAATAGTGGATGTGATCAGACATGAAATACTTTGGCCCTCCCACCTGTCACAAACAGGGACGATGCAAAGTGCTTCATGTGTTGGTCCTCCTCATTAGTCATGCCAGCCTTCACCTCTTCTGCTGAGATCAAAGTGAAATCGCTCCCAGGCGCCTTTGGGAGACACGCCCAGCTGCACAGCCAGGGTGTTGTTCCCTGATGAACAGACTATTCTTCTCTGTCCATCCGTAAAATCCTTATAGATGCACCAAACACTGTGTAGTTGTCCTTGAGAGAGAAAGATACTGAAAGAAAAAGATTAACTTCATCCTCTTATCAATGCTATAGTGTTATTTTAAACGTATCTCTTCATGGCGTATTTCTAATCCCAGAATGCTCTTTGCTTTTTAAAACTGTGACATAAGACTAAAAGTTAACCAGAAGTCTTGATCATATTACTTTTACTGCTCAGAATTCAAGATCTAGGGATTTCCTGCCTACATCTTCCACCCACAGCCTTTTCGAACAACGGAGGTAGGGAATTGAAGCGAAATAAAGTATTGCATAAATGTGGCAGAGGGTAATTTTCTCTTGTCAGTTGAAATATCTGAAAAATACAAGGAACTGTGAAACTGTCATTGGAAACTAGGTCAAACTAATTTGTAACTGTGCACAATATCAACAATGGAAGTGACAGGCTAAACTGTGATGCACAAAACAGGCATATATTTTTGAATTTGCAATGCTTTGGGTAGATAGAAAGAATAACAGTATTTTTTTCCCAGGCTTTCACGCCCCACAGTCGCGTAGAGAAATCATTTAAGCTGCTTCTCATGCACAGTCTACTTGAACACTGGCATCTGTCATGGCTGCACTATTAGCACCACCGACGTTTGCCCACATTTCCATTTCATTTTCCACTTTTGTCACCATAATCTGCTGCCCGGACATTTTGATCGGCTGAAAGTAATTTAGTACATTCAATTCCACTTCACCCCTGAAATGTTATTGTCTGCTACAGTAATGAAATGTCCACTTTTCTATAGAGAGAGCCACCTTAACAAATGTCATATATTCTTCTTATTATAAAAGGATTGCTTTGGCCTATGGGTTGCTTCAATTTACATCTGCAGCAGTGAATGCATGTATTATTTCTTTGTATGGGCAGAAGCAGAAACAGCTTGTTTTGCTGGCTTGTAGTATTTTAAATTACTAGCGTCGTATTTTATCTGTGATTATGTAAATTCAAACTGACTGTAAAAATACAATATTCAACCATTGATTCAATAGTGAAAATTATATAACTTCAGTTCCCATCTTTATAATGAAATCACTATTCAGAAATAAATTCTCTCATCATCTAATTTCTATCTATAACATCTAACATCAATTGATAGACTATATTTAGACTTAGATTAACTTAATTGATCCACAAGGGAAATTATTTGGACACAGTAGCTCATAGCATATTATAATAACAAAGAGAAATTGTATTTAAAATTCTAAATAAGTAGCAGAAATAGCAAGAAACTGGTGTCAAATCAGGCATATTTGGAACTGGGGATGTAACAATAACCGAAATGTCATGATATCGTATCGTTAAAAGTCTCACAATAATATCGTGGACCATCACAGTATATTGAATCTCAAGTGTATTTGAATAAATTCATTGTTATGGTGCAGTAATACCTAAAAAACAGAGGGAACTACATAGACCATGATCCTTTGCTCTGTTTCAGTCCAATCTACATGTTGAAATAACAGTTATTAAACACTTTTCAATCTTTTGAATCTTTTTTGAATTATGATGAGAGAAAAGTAGAAAAGTAGCATATTCACAATTTTACCGCGATAAATATTGTACGGTGAGATGCATATTTGCAAATATTGCAAATACGCAAATATTGTATCAAGAGAATTGGATACCTTTACATCCCTATTTGGGCCTGTAGTTAGCTGGTGAGTTGGTGGTCTGTTGCTTAGTTGAACCACTGATCATAGAAGGAGTGCGCTTTAGGAGCTGTGAGTTACAATTTAATATGACTACTAGTAAAATAAAACCAGTTTCTGCACTATACGCTGTCCCAATTCATTGTGCTCTTTTATAAGGTGTCAATCTTAGCTGTCTGTCTTCCCCCAGGAGAACATCGAGCTTGCATTAGATGACATAGAACCCAGCACCTCCATGTCTGTTGCCGTAGTTGATCAAGCCTCAAGCCAAGCACTGGTAAGACAAAGATTTCAAAATGTCATGTCTTATTTTTCTATTCTATCTCTACCTACACAGCCGATATATTTTGTATTCATTTTGGTATTAGTGTGATAGATTACCTCTCAAAACAATGAAAATAGCATCCTTCTTATGATCTATTTGCTAACTAATCTCTAATAATACTTTCAAAATGACTACTTACCTTTTTAAGATGTTAAATATTGAAAGGTGTTGTTTGGTAAAGATGAGAACACCAATGTGTGGTGACTGGAGAAGAAAGGTTAGAGAATTGACTCGAAGAAGGAAAATCGATGTTTGGCCTTTGCAGCCTCTGATCTGCACCATGGAAACAGAGATGGTGGAGTCTAAAGAGTCATAGATCAGCTTGCTATATTGCAGTGGTTTTGAGAGCCTTACTTTTTTAAGTACTTCAATTAAAAGTGACTTCATTAGTGAGCCACAGGACAAAGTGAACAGGAAAAAAGCAAAGCATTTTTATTGTTAGATTAGTTTAATAATGAAACTAGTGTTGTGAAAATATAGGTATTATTTGTAATTGTTTACTGGCCAGTAGCATATCACTCATAAAATCTGTATATTTATCATCTACAGTATGATGTGAATCTGAACTGGGTTGGTCAAAAATTAGAATAACATCACACAAAATGTAATACAAGGGAACTGAAATTGTGAGATTGCCCAAAAAGGACAAGCAGGTTGAAACTTTGTAAACAGTATGACCTATAATGTACTATACAGTATACATACATGTAAACATTATACTACATACAACCCCCTCTCTCCCATCTTATTTACTTTTTTACCTTTTACTTTTTAAAAATGTATTTATTTATTTATTTATTATTTATTTATTTATGTATTTACTGACTTTACATATTTTACTGATTTTTTCAGTTTGTATGTGTGTTAGTTTTATTTCTTTATGTCTTGTAAAAAAAACAGATTTAGGCTATTATGATACAAATAATATTATGGTGATACAAATAAACACTTTTTAGTTTTTTTGTTTGAGGAAAAAAATAAAACATTTTAATTATAAAGCATATATAAATAATAGCTTATCTTGTGTTTTAACTTTCATAATCATTGTTTGCATTTGAGTACTATGGCAGGTCTTGCTAATAGCTTGAAAAGAAGCTTCTTTTCACTTGAAGATATATTTTCCTCCTGTTGTAGCTTGGATGTTTGTTATCACACACAGCCCTAATACTCAATTCATTGCAGGCGTCCGAGTTGTCATATGTCTCCTCTAAACTGATATGCTGCAGTCAGTGTAGTGTGTGCCTCCGATAAGAATGTCTCTGGTGTCATGGACTGAAAGATACCAGAACATTATGTGGTTCTGTGAGTCTGGCTCAGCTCCCCAGGTGGATGGAAACACAGAAGCTATCCCTCAGAGTGCGCAGAAGTCCTTTACAAAACAATAATCCCATTGCCAAACACCCCCCATATCTACCAGAATCTGTCATTCAAAAACCTGCCCAGTGCTACACAGGATTTTCAGTTGAATTTGATATCACAAAAACACCCAGAGGTAATGGAAGGAATGGAACTGTGCGGTCAAAAGTAAAAGTTAAGGTCACTGAAACTTCATGTGTTTCTACTACTCGCAAACACATATATTATTATTTCATAACTGTAGAGGAATTTCAAATTTGGTGAAAAGTCAGTGATTACTCTATAGACATAGTTTAACAAAACTGAAAAATATGTAACTTACTTGTGTGATAGAGGATCCACCGCTGGCTTGTTTCCATGGAGATTGTGTAACTTGCCTGGGATGTTCCAGAGTATAAACTTATCTGTCCTGAGTTTATTCAGTTAGCGCTGTTTTTATTAATCAGCAGTACCTTGAAAAACATGCATTCAAAGTGTCTCTCTACAGATCAGTCATGTAACTGGCCTTGTGTCTCCACTTGCTTGTCTAGAGGGAGTATATAAAGGCCATACTTGTGAAACATTCCAGGCATTGTATTGACATTGCCATGGAGACAAGCAGCACCACCAGAAAAGTTTCATATCCAACTTTAAAATAAATCCTTATTGAAAAGAAATGTTTCTTCATATAACATTTTATTGCTTCAAGACATCAGAATGTTTTACATTTTTACACACATTTTTCTTTGTTCACAGTAAAAAGAAAAGTAAAACCACTGTAATTACCAGTATTAAATAAATGTCAGTGACATGGTGTATTAATGTTGCAAAAAAATGTTTTTAAATTCTCCAATCAACTTGACAAAATAGTTTTGTTGACATTTCAAGTATAAGGAAGCACTAGTCAAGAGACTGCTGTAATTTGTCAGCTCCCACACATTTTCTGCTAAATACAGTGTAATAAAAAGTTATTGTAAAATAAGTGTTTTTGTTTTTTGCAGTCAGTAATATTAAATAAAGTAAAATATGAAACAATATTAAGTTGCTGTTTTTGTTTTTAATGACAGTGAATCCCATTATTAATCATAGAGCTGTGTGTGTGTGTTGGAGCAGGTGCGGGCTGGTCGTACAGATGAGGCCAGGGGTTTGCTGTGGCTGATGGAGGAGGAGGCGCTGCAGCCAGGAGGGTCAGAGCAAACTCTTCTGGGGCGCTTGTTTAGCTACTATGGGCCTGCAGAGGGGGAGAGCAAAGGTGAATATAAATACCTACATTTGCTACATCTCTTATCTCTTTCCTTGTGCAGTTATGTACGAATTCCTTCAAGGATTGAGGTTTGTAATAGTACTTATAAAAAGTACTATGACAGCTTTGTGTATTGTTTATTCATTCCATTCTTGGTGGTGGTAAGCTATTATTGTAGTCACAGCTGCCATGAGGTAGACTGATGGAAAGTTGCGAGACTGCCAATGTACGCAATCGGCCCCTCAGACCACCACCAATGACTCACGCACATGCCACATTCATATTAGGTGTTACATTCATATTAGGTGGGTGTCTTGCCTAAGGACACAATGACACAATGTTTGCTCTACCACTGCAGCACCTGGTATTCCCATTGGTCCCATATTATGCTATTTTCTGATCTATGTTATAATACACTATAACATACCTGGAGTTTTGTTTTGTTTCATTCACTAATGTTTAACACACAAACCCATAATATTTAGGCTGAGGTTTTGTCTTAAACAAAACTCTGTTCTGCATTGTAATACAGGAAGTGCTCCTTTGTGTTTTTAAAATCCATACATTTTCACTAAAATTATTTAGATAATTTCAGACATAGAATTGACAAACTCCAACAAACAAAAGGTAAAATCAAGACTGTTAACTTGAAAACGATTGCTTCATGAAATCAGAAAATAGAACAGAGCTTTTTGAGCTTTGGAGATGTAGACAGACTAATTTATAACACAACCCCCGGTATGTTTTTGATGAAGTAACAACATTATAACATGGTTTAAAGCTCATAAGAGTCAATTTTATATAATAGGACCTTTACCTTCTGAAATCTGATGAGACTAGGCATTGATATTTAATAACCGTTTTAATAATAATAGTGAAGACTTCCTTTTGATGCCCATAGAAGTAATCTCTGATTCCTGTTGTGCATATGTTTATCAGGTCACACATTGCTCTTGAAGAGTGAGAAGGACCATCACTTCCTGCTGGCACACAGTCATGGTACAGACTGGGTGGAGTACAACACCAATGGGTGGCTTAACTACGCCAAGCACAACCCTGCCTCATCTAATGCTGCCTGCCTCTTGCAAGACTCCCAGAAGTAAGAACTACATATTTGAACATACTTTTTATACTATATACATTTTTTTCTTTTTATTTAGAGAATTATGTTCACAATTTAATCTACAAAACAACAATTTATCAATAAATCATACACTATTTAAATGAAGGGTAAACCAACTATAACGAAATAAAAAAGACAAAAAACATGCAAAACCAAATATTTAAAGTAGATTATATTTAGCAATTAATCATGTTTTATTAATTTATTTTATATACATTTCTGCCTCTTAGATACTTTTAAACCCACCTCTTCAGACTGGCCCATAAACCACCTGATCCATCCACTGATTGTTCTGTGTCCTCATGTGTCATGTGTCTTTTATTGATTTTACCTTCTATTTTAGTGATTTTTTTATATTATTATTATTATTATTATTATTAAATTATCACTCTGCTTGGTGGCCTTTATGTCATCATCCCACAAAACTCCATCCAGTAGGGACAGTTCACGGACAGACATTTTCAGACAGTTCAAATATTCCTTCTGTATATGATATAGCAGATCATTAAAAAACACTAATTACAGTGAACGGATCTTCCTCCTGTAGAAAGATCATCAGTTCATTGATCATGAGCAGAGGTGGAGGGGCCACTGTCCTGTCTGGTTCTGTAGCAGGCCTGGAGGCAGTTTCACAGCTGTCTCTGCGGAGAGCCACCAGCATGAGGAAGACCTTCACTACTGGAGTGGCAGCCATAAAGAAGAAGTCACTCTGCATACAGATCAAACTGCAAGTGGTGAGACAAGCAGTATTTTTCATATTTTCCTTATTGTGTGATTGTTAGGAAGTTTGCTGTGTACTATTTTATTTTACTAACTTGTTTAAAATGTGTGTATTTATTACGTGGAAAACGGGTGGTGTGCAAAAGGGGTGGGGTTAAATACATTTCTTTTTACTTTCTCCCTCTCCATTTCTTTGTCTTTACAATTCTTTTCTTATCAACTTTACTCTTTAGATTTAATGTTGTTGTATTTAACAACTAAATAAATAAACATGAAATAAACACATTCCTTTTTCATAATAACAGGTATATTTTAAGCAGAATTGAGACATTCTTATCTTACAAGTTCTTCAAATGCTAGGGTTTCAGTTCAACATTTAAACATTTCGATACGAAAGTCTAGATGACATGTAAATCTGCTTCAGACAAGCTGCCTGCTGCTTGACTTCAACCTTTCTAACCTGGATCATTCTTTGGCAGGATGCACTCCTTGACATGGTGCGGAGGTCCAAAATTCACTTTGTTCACTGCATATTGCCTAAGGCTGATGCCCTAAAGGCTCTCAGTGGATCCCTGTTCAAAGGAGGGGAATGCGAGACTCCAGGGGAAAATGGTGATCCTGGATTAATGCAGCTAGATGTTGCATTGCTCCGCGCTCAGCTACGTGGCTCCAAGCTGCTGGATGCTCTTCGGATCTATAGACAAGGTAGGGCAACTTCAAAAATGCCCCCAAGTACTGTCAACATTAGTGTTGCTATCTGGGGCTACATTATAAATATACACTATATTCATAATTATTTCACAGGATTTCTCGAAATAAATATTTGACCATGCCATACTAACAAATGTTGCACTTTCAGGCTATCCACATCACATGGTGTTTTCAGAGTTTCGGAGACGCTTTGATGTCCTGGCCCCGCACCTCACCAAGAAGCATGGGAGGAATTACATTGTGAAGGACGAGAAGAGAGTAAGTCAATCAATGGAGGTAGGGGGAGAGAGAGATGTAAACCTCGGGCTGCAGCCAAACGCTATGAAGATTAATGTTGTGAAGAGGCAGCTTCATTGCATCTGGCCCTGATTTGTCAGCAGCAGCCCACTGACGGAGAAATAAGCCCCCATTCATCACCTATTGTAATGATCTAATCAACTTAACCTTAGCTGCAACGTTCCTTTTAATGGCCCAGGTCGGTACTGTAGGTTAGAAAGGGTCCAAAACAGAGAACACTAAATCAAAGTCACCTTTATTAGCCTGCTAAGTACTTGAGTTTGTGTTTTCTATATAGTATAAAGATTAAACTAAGCTAAAATGGTGAAATATTAAAGGTGCACTACATCTGTGTAATCTCTCAGTCATCCAGATAGGTTCCATATCAAAAGAAAAAAAAAATCTGTCATCTTAACAAAAAACTCCAAAAAAACCCCCCAAACAAACAAACAAACAAACAGTGTCCGGTTGACAGAACTGAATTTTGTTTTCCTGCAGATGTTGTTGCTTTGCCTGAAATGCTATCTTAAACATATCTGTCTTGATGTAGGTGGTGCCAAGTTACAGTCAGAGTTAGAATGCATGTTTACAAGGTAAATTTGTAATTTTTGTAAAAACACATGTAATTTAAATCCATACTGTAGAAAAATCCAGGCATAGTAATATCATCAGAAAACATGTAGGTGGGAGATTCTAACCACAAAAGTTAAACAGTGCACCTTTAAAACCTGTAAACCTCCAGTTTAGAAATTTGTGTGTTGTCTTGTTCTTGCACACATCTTATACATCTGGATCTCCAAATGTCCACTACAAGAAAAGCCAGTGATTGGTGTGGGTGTTTAAATAAGTTTGTTTTTAAAGCAAAATAGAAGAGGCCGAGTGAGAGAATTGGGTTAGGAGAGAGAATAGTCCTGCTCCCCTGTGTGCATGTATTGGGGCTGAGTTTCTGTGGAAACATAGACAAACAAAAGCCCCTCAGTGTTTGTGGCAGACCACTCCTGGTGTAATCTAGATGGGGTCTCTTTGGACTAGAGGCTCCAGTGTAGAAGGGGGACACACCTGCTACACTCTCAGACTGACAGCACAGAATCCAGGCTAACTTTTGCATTCAGGGTGTGTCTTGGGACATGGTGATTTTAGTTTGTTTGTGTATTTTATTTTTTTTAAACAAATATAGCCGGGAAAGCCTCTAAGAAAAAAAAAAAAAAAATAGCAGTATTGTTTTCATTAGTTCAGTTCACTGTCTAGACTAATATCTTCTCCACTAGTGAAGTCCCTATTGGGTGTTAAAGTGTACTTGTGTGTGTGATTGCTAGGCTGTGGAGGAGCTACTGGAGTCCTTGGATTTGGAAAAGAGCAGCTACCACATGGGTTTGAGCAGGGTGAGTAATGCATTTCACACATCCCCTAAAATAAATTTCTCTTTGCAATCTCTTGTATTTGTGCACGTGTATTTGTAAGGACACAATGTTAGCTTTCTATTAAACCTTTCTTTCTTTGAGGGTTGTTTGCTGTCCTGTTGGAATGGCTGCCAAAACTATGTGTGCAACTATGCTCAATGCTCCCGGATTGTAACTCACTATCCTTTGTTCTCAGGTCTTCCGAGTGACAACCCTCTTTGTTTTTGTGTTACAGCTTTTGTAAAGTAATGTAGTAAACAATGTCTGGCCCTGGGGTTCAAATCCAGTCCAAGATGGAGAGGGCCTCAAAATAGAAATCAAAGGAGAACATTGATGTACAAAAATATTAAGTGCATTACCCAGGCTTTTCACAATGACACTGTTGTTGTTTTTTAAGTTTGCGCGGTGCTGCTCTTCAGGGCAAGAAACCGCAGAGATTCACAAAGCCTTCCAGAGGTGCCATGGCAACCTGCTTCACTCATCAATTAAAGTAGCCCTAAATAACAACTGCACACTGGCTTAACATAAGAATGTTAACAATTATATAAGGCTGCATGTCTGTACACATCTATAATATTATGAGAGCTGTTAAAGTAGAAATGGTAAATACTGTAGAAAGCAAAACAAAAAATACACCTTCATTTGCCTTAATAAAACATGAACAAAGACTTCATACTGAACAAATAGTTTATTTAATTAAAGTACTGATACATAGATACTAGGCCTGACTCATTATTTTTGTTTATTTTGAGTTAAGTCTTTGTTCATGCTTCATTAAAACTATTGAAAGTGTAGTTATTATAAAAAGTAATTCTTAACTCTACACAGGCTGATTTGTTTATTTATGTAAATAAATTATTATTTTACCCAATATAGTGAGAGTATATTCTCCCTTGCTTTGCTCATATTGAGTAATCAACACGCACTTTATAATCACGTCAGGTTTTACAGAAAAGAAATAAGGTTTTAACTTTTACAAAATCAATGTAGCATTCCTTTTCCAAAGACCCTTCTCTGACCTTCTCCTTTGTATTCATGTTCTTGAAGCGTTTAAATACATTAGATATATAAATATAGTTTCAGAGATGTCTTTAATACATTATTTTTGCAAAGGACCTTCAAACAGCTCTTCAGTCACCCCTGTCCATTTAAAAGCTCATGGCAGCCGTATCTACACAGCATCTCAGAATGTAATCACTCTTGGATATAGACAGGCCTAGATGTGATCTGATTTTTATTAGCCGCTCGCCCCTGTTTTACCTTTGCCAAGATTAGGAGCTGACAAGACTGATTGTCAAAGATAATAACTTAATCACAACTTTCTCCCTCTGATAAGGCTGCCCTATCCACGGATTACACTATTTCTTATTGATTTGCTGCTTCAGTGCACTTATTTACTTTTTAGGTTCCTACTCTGATGTCTCTTCTCTCACAAACCAATGGCCCCCGAATCCAATTTCCTCACAGCTTCAATAACCATTACACTAATGTTTTTTACCTTGCTAATATGTTCAAATTAGCTTTTTTTCTTTATTGGTTTGTAGTTGTTCTTCAGAGCTGGCACCCTGGCTAAGCTGGAGGAGCAACGAGATGAGCAAACGAAGCGTAATATAATTCTCTTCCAAGCTGCCTCCAGAGGATACCTGGCACGGCAAGCCTTCAAGAAGAGAAAGGTACTGCATGTGTCACAATGTCACCCTCATGTCCAATAATACAATACACAAAACAGTGAGCTCAGAGTAATAACATAGGGTAACATACTATTTGTTTTATTTTGTCTATTCTTAGTCAATGCAGTTGGAATTTTTATTGTAAATAGACTTACAGTTTTCAGACTTTACAGCCAAGTAAAATAACCTATAATTAATTTATTGATGGAAAGCCCTTTATTTTCAAGCGGGGACAAGATGGATGTGGAACCATTGTGCAGTAGATTGTTTTGAATAAAAGGTCAGTGTATACCATACGTCTAGTTGTACATGTATTTGCTAAATAGCTTTTGAAACCGATTTATATTGTACTGTGTAGTAATTTATGTTATGCTGCTGTAAAAAGTAAAGGTAACACTTTATAATAATTACAGTTTTAATAGGCCTAGTAAAGCGTGAACAAAGAGATAATAAACAAATCATTCATCAAGAATGATTCCGGTTTAACTACTTAAAGGTGCATTGTGTATCTTTTCTAGCGGAGAGTTCGTCAAATGCTTTTCTCCGTGGAAATGTTATTGCATTGTCTGGAAAGTTTCACAGTATAGTATTAAACCTTTTTATCTTCATGGAAACCAAAGCACTTCATGGAAACCAAAACACTGTAGATAGCATGTTATTTAACATTTATTTTCCCAGGCAAAATGTTAAAATAATGCCTGTTTTTCTAGGTATTTTTGAGCTGTAAAACCACCTGTAATTCAATAAATGTAATGTAGTCAATTCCATGTCATACAGTGGAACATTCCAGGCAGAGAAATGACATATCTGTAGAAACAAGCAAGTGACAGACTCCCAACCAAAAAGTTATGTTTGAAGTTACACCTTTTAGTTCTAGGGTATAACTTAACTAGCCTTAGTCATCAGCCGGTTTCACTCCATAGAAACCGTCTGACCTCGCAGCATTAGAATTCATTTGCTTGACAGTAGGCAGGTACTTTTTTTCATTTAACCGCTCACTGCTTTTTGGTCGTTACATATTTAATGCGCCGCTAACAGGGTTAACTGGTATATTAAGCTTTTCCCAAATCCCTTAGGAAGAAGGGCAATAACGTCTTTTCCCTTGATAAAATTCACCAAACATTCTCTTTGTTCCGGTTTAAATCCTCTATCTCAGGAATCGTTGCCAACACAGAACATGTGTCTCTTCGCTGATTGGCTGGTGCCCAAACTTGCACTTCCGGGGTTTTTGCGAACATTTAGTGTATTCTGATTCCAGACCTAGTCGCTGGAGAGAAATTAAATTGAGCGGAGGCACTAGGTGGTGCCAGCCTGGCTATAATTTATAAACTATTTGTTCATTATGAAGTAAGTCTGTTTTTTTTTATTTATTTTTTTTTATTAACTATTATAAAGTGGTACCAAAGTAAAGTTTACTCCATGACTACAATGGTGATCAGTATGTGTAGGCAGAATTTTTATGTTTTGTTCATCGTCCTTTGAAGTGTATGATAAGAATAGATAAAATCAGACGCCTCCTTCTAGTATATAAGCTCCAATGTCTTTTGTTGCCTAGCAGTCAGTTTGTCTTTAAGCATTCATCTGGTCTAATTTTAGCCTCTTTTTGCTGTGTTGGAAGGCAGCTACGTCACCTCCACTGTGTATGAGTTATTACAAATGATTTTTAAAACTTTCGGCCACACCAATCACAGATGGTGCTTCTCATGGGGGTATTTGATGGTGACGTATCAATCCACGTCTTTTAAATGTAGCCTTATCAAAGTGCTGCTGACTGGCCCAGATCGCAATGCTACATTTTTCTCTCAGTGTGTGATAGCTCCATCTGTGTGGACCTCATACATGTCCCCCTGTGATGTATGAAGCCCTGCAGTCCTCCTCCTCCTCTCTGTGATTACTATTTAAGTGAACACAGGGATAGTGATGAAGCAGCACAAACAGAATCAACAGCCACCATGCAACACTGAACACCGGCTACATGTCTCCGGAAAATAATGCCAGTATAAGACATCCCTTTCTATTATAGATCTGCAATGGACAACCAAACCCTGTCGTAATTTGAAATACATTGTAGATAGCATGTTATTTAACATTTATTTTACCAGGAAAAATGTTAAAAACTAATTATTTACAATGTTGGCCTTGGTAAATGTAAAGTTTATTGTGATCTAAGTATTTCAAGTGATTAGTAAGATTATCTAAAAGGAATCTAAATGGGCATATTCTTAGTGTCTTGATAACATGTCAGTAATAGATGTTGTATAATAGCTTTGGTAGCAATTTATAATGACTACACCTTAATGAAGCACAGCCACAGACTTAATTAATTATAAACAAATAATTTAGTATGAATGATTAAGGTTTGGTAACTACTTAATTAAGGGGTTAGGAGTGAGTGTTGTTATAAAGAATATCCGTATAATTAATGTTACTATCTCAGAAACAACATTGTCCCAACAAATATTTCCAACAAAATGCTTTTATCTCTGCATTTTAATTCTTAGCCAGGTAAAGTTAGATTTAAAACTTCTATAAAGTATTTGCTAACTAATAGTAAGTAGGAGGCAGACATGATTTCATTAAATCTGTTGTCAGGTTGCCAACTGTATTCGTAATGAACACATTCAATATTATATACAGTATATTCCTTATTCATGTTGAGCAAAACTTCTTTTTTGGCCTTTTTGCTCATTTTCCTGACTTCTTTCAACTACAGTCGGGCCTAATTAAAGCGCTCCTCCATCAGTACATATAGAGCGGATAGCCTCTGAAGGACATTTCCCAGTGAAGCCCATTTAGTTTTATTATTTCTGATTCAATTAGTCGACACCACAGTAATGAAACACAGTCTGCTGGATTATTGAGTGGCTTCTATTTCTCCTGCTCTGTCTGTTAGGGCTTTACAGAGTTCCTCAGTCCTGGAACAATCCTAATATAACGTGATGCTCTTGTGCCCTTGCTGTTATCCCTGTATTTCTATGTGAATTGATTAGCTCCAGTTGCTGCTGTGCTGTTTTGAAGTGTCCTGTCTTAGCAGGTGGACGGTAGATGCTATTTTGCCTCTGTTATCGAAATGGATGGATTCAGCCCAAGTCTCTCTGCTTGATGTATATGGACGTGACAGAAAGTCGCAAGTTTGTTTGATTGATATTCTCTGGCATGTTAACCTTGCGTAGCAGTGCCAAGCTTGTCTGACATTAAATGACAAAGCCACAATTTTTCTTACCCCCCCTCTCTCTTTTGAGCGCCTCCTCAAGGGGACACACTGACATTTTTAAGGTCTGTTATTTTGCCTCAGCAGGCACTTATTGCATCGCCAGTGTTGTCCTTCAGGTATCCTACAAATGTGAATTTTTTTCTCTTTTTGCATTGAAATCGACATAAAGCTAAAAGATTTATCAGGTTACAGTGTTGTAGTGTCTATTCATTTGAACATTTCCACTGTGTTTGACTTTGCTCTATGAATGTTAAGCTATGTTATAAGATGATAAGTGGCAGCTATTCATTTAAAACATATTTCTATGCCTTCAGTTGAATGTGTACCTACGTACCTTCGTACGTACCTACGTACCTACGTGCCAAGGCTCTGCACAATGTACTACTTCAGCATATCCACACACAAGAATAGTGTTAAAGAATAACTAGTTTTCTGAATGATGTGGTAATTTTCCACATAATTCCAGTTATAATCGGCCTTTGTACTGTGTATATGATCTGGCTTTGATTAAAATTTTGCAACATTAATTAGAATACATACACAATTTATATATATATATATATATATATATATATATATATATATATTTTTTTTTTTTTTACAATTCTGGCACCTATTCTTGTTTTGCTTCTTATGTTTCTACCCTTGACAAACCTTTTAAATTTGTATGCTAATGTCATTATCCACAGTATTCATGTGGTATAGCCTTTTGTTTATTCTCTATTCATTTTAGACTAAATATGACAACTAAGACCTGTTTAATTTGTCTGTCAGAGATTTGCTGTGTTTTGCTCCGTGTTAAGGCTTTCACTGTGTGACAAATCCTAATTGGTCATAGAGTGTTGCTTCGGGGTAAAACGTACCTGATGCCGGGAATTGTGTTGTTCTAATTGGGTTTGCCCATAATCTGCTGCTGCTAGAGAGTCTCATGCATAAGCGGCATGGAAATCGTGTAATACTCAGAATTAGCTGCCAACATGTTTGATTTAATTAATCAAAAATTAGCTTCCAGCTTTTGGAACACTCACTGTGTAGGAACTCTTCAGAGGATCCTGGCGTGTCTTGGTTTTGCTAGCTATGAGACAAACTGACTGCTCACTATATACAGTGAGCTATAGCACTGTATTAGACATGCCACTCAGACAGTCTACTGAAGCATTGAGCACCTAATAAATCACGTGAAATGTTTTTGATTTACTACTGTGATCCCTCTAAAGTCATTGGCATTGTAAAGTTGTTAATATCTTTAATACATTACTGTGTGTACTATTAACAGATGTATATTTTTATAGATACAAGACTTAGCGATCCGCTGCATCCAGAAGAACATCAAGAAGAACGATGGGGTGAAAGACTGGCCCTGGTGGAAGCTCTTTACCACTGTGCAGCCTCTGATTAAGGTCCAGCTGACTGAGGAACAGATGAAAGGCAAAGATGTGAGGAGATTGTGATTATCATATTATGTCTACCCCATTAATCACAGTGCTGTAGAGAGGTAACTGTAGCTATATGTAACTATGTGTGTTGTTTTAGGAGGAAATTCAGCAGATGAAAGCAAAGCTGGAGAGAGTGGAAAAAGAGAGGAACGAGTTGAGGCTGAACACAGATCGATTGGAGAGCAGAGTGAGTCCCTTTGGCTGTGGCAGCTGTGCATGCTGGGACCACTGAGTATGGGAGTGCTGGTGGACTTATAACAAGGGCACTACAATGGAGTTTGAACTTGCCAATATACAGCTCCAATACTGACTTACTTACTTTTTAGTACACTTACAAATATATTCTTTTTATAATACATTGCAAATTCCAATAACTAAAAAACTGGAATAAACAAATCAAGCCATGCATGTAATTTAAATGACTCAAAAGTAGTGAAGGAAATTTGTCTCAACTCAACCAAAAAAAAAGTATTTTCATAAATAGAGCTGAAATCATAGCGTTGTTTACAATTTGATACAATACATGATATATGATTCAAGATACAATAATATCATGGCATGGAATATGGTGGTACATGTGATACACCTATTTACTGTTATTACTTTTTTTTTTTTTAAACCACTATGCACATTATGAAATACACTTAATATAATAATTCAGACTCTGAGTATGTTGACTGCATTACATAAATATTGTTGCTATCTCTAATAAGCAACAAAACTGTAGTGTCACAACATAAAAAGTCTGTAAAATGCTGTATACAAAAATTAAGGATCACACTATATTAATATTTTGACACACCCTTGCTTATAAAATGGGCTTTGTTTATTCAGATTGCTGATCTGGTAGCAGAATTGGCCGATGAGAGGAGCACGAGTGAATCAGCTTCTCAGATGCTGGAGGCTGAGACGTCAGAGAGACTTCGCCTGGAGAAGGACCTCAAGGATCTACAGGTAAGTTACATCAAAAATGTATTAATGCAGAAAGTAAACAAGCGTGTAGTAAATACAAGCTTTATATTATATGATTCAGGGCAAATTTGAAGGCATGAAGAAGCAAATGGAAGCCCAGGAGATGGAGGTGATGGAGGCTCGACTCATGAAAACCTCAGACTTAAATGGAGAGCTTGACGATGATGATTCTGGTTAGTAAGACATATTTTTTCTCTATTTGTGCTGCAATTTTAGCTGTAAGTGTGTTGAAAGTACTATTTTTAAATACCTAATTAAATGTGCTCCATGACTCCGGCCGGAGCTTGACTGTCTGCCTCGTGGGCATGTCAACTCAGGTCAGGGGCAACATTCTCTGGCCTCTTTATGTGATTATTATGCGCACAGTTTGAAAAATCTCCAACTAATGTTATTCTAATTGCAGCTGCAGGAACAAGCGCCTTTGTTTGACTGTTTCAGCAGGGGGATGTGGCAGTTAGACCCGGTCATGTTGTGCATAATGCTATTTAGTGCATTTTTAGCATGAGGTTCACGGAGAGTGGGATTAAGAAATTCACTCCAAGGCATACCAGGTGCGCATGTTGCCAAATGGTCTCTACCTGCTGCGAAACTAAGCTCGTGCTGTGTCTTTTCTTCCACCTCCTTCACCCCACCTCTGCAGACAAGCCATTACAGAGCGTATCAGAATTCTTAGATGAATGAGAAAATAATCGTTGGGATCAGAGCCGGTGGCCCTGCAAGTTGTCATTATGCTATATATATGCTAATGAGCGCCTCTGATGGAGAAGCTGGTGTTAGTATGTGAAGGAGAAATGGACAGCCTCTAAAATGATAAGGCTTTGAAAATGAACCTGAACCCGAATGCGCTGCTACACCCCTGATAGCCTCTGACAGCTGCAGAATTAGGGTCGGCTAAGAACTGTGAAAGTGCCACTTAGACATGTCCTTCTCTAACTAGTATTGTGGTGTGCTTTGAATCCAGCCTGCAGGTTTATCCAAGATTAAAGTTTAGACGCTAGCTAGACACTGCTTTGTACTTCTTTGTTGAAATCATTTGGCCTTCGGAGGTCACAATATGATGAAAAGAAATTTTATTTCCTGAAAGATTGTATGATTTTTATCTTTGATTTTATCACAGCAAGTATAGTCTGCCACATAATCCATCATTTCTGTGCTTTCAGTCTCTCCCTCTCTGAGCTCTCAGCCAGCACCGCATTAAAAAGCAGGAGACTCCCAAATGTCACATGCAGGCGTTTTCTTAAATCTATGTGATCCCAACAGGAGGAGAGTGGCGGATCAAATACAACCGAGCCATTCGTGAAATGGAGTTCACCAAAAAGAAACTCCAACAAGAGTTTGAGGACAAGCTGGAAACAGAGCAGCAGAGCAAAAGACAACTGGAAAGAAAGGCAAGACTGTAACAGTAACACACACTAAATTATATTTAATGAATATGTATTCAAAGGTGCAACAACTTTTCTGGTGGAGGGTCTGTCACCTACTTCATATAGATGTTTTTTATTTTGCCTGGAATGTTGCACAGTATGGCATTAAAGTTATCGACCTTCATGGAAACAAACAGGTGAGCCCACCAGGTCGTAATTTTTTTTTTAAGCCGTAAAATACCTTGAATGATGGATGCATTTAGTGACACACTGTGGAACAATGAGTCAAGGCAACAGAGACACGCAGGTGGTAAAATCCCCATTAGAAAAGTAACATAGTGCACTTTTAAGTTTAACACACTTTTCCCAACAGCACATTTCAGGATTTCCATAAACATTGTATTTTAAAAGACATACTCTTTAAATGCTTTGCCTGTCTGTCGCAGGTGGCTGATTTGCAGACAGACCACGAGGATGTGCAGCGCTCTGTGCAGCAGCTGAAAAAGAAATGCCAGAAACTGACGGCTGAGCTGCAGGACACCAAGCTCCACCTGGAGGGCCTGCAGAGCCGCAACCACGATCTGGAGAAGAAACAGCGCAAGTCAGTTTGAAAATAGATGTCTGTCTATTTTTGTACCTGTCTGGTGGAGCTGTCCATCAGTCTGCTTCCGGCCCTTGTCCCTGTCTCACAAACACATTAAACAGAAAGGATGGCTCTATTCTCCTTGGATGGCTAAGTGCAGACACTCAGGGCCACCCAGCAGAACACTAAAGTTTTCTTTAATTTGAATAGTGACTGAGATGTTCTGTAATCTGTGGAATTGCATTAGCTGCGAAAATGACTCAGACTTTAAGCACTTGAGAAGCTATCGCCGTGGCAGAATGTGATCTCTCCCCTGTGGCTAATTGAAGACGCTCTGTGGGTGAAATTATTTTCAGCTGCACTCCAGAGAGAAAAACAGGGAGTTACAACGAGCTGACAGCATGAAACACTTAGCTGTTAAGTTCACCAACCATAAGTGTTTCTGCCCCAGACAATTGAAGACAACATTCTGCACATTATTACAGTCCAATTGTAAATTGATGGCTAATGAAAGGGGATAAGCCCTGAGGCAAGCAATCTAGCTGTGGATTCTACTAAGTCCAAAGTCAACTATGTAATAATCCCCCTTTATAGACTTGTACTTTATCCTTCTGTGTAAGCATTTGCCAATGACTTTAATTCTCTTTAAACTATATAATATGCTAGTGATATTGTATGTGCGTTAGCAATGGGAAAACTGTATTATAACTACTGCCTCTTCCAATATAAATTATGATATAGATATATAATTTATTTGATGTCTGTATGAAACCCAATTTGGGATTTCTTTAACAGTTTAAGTTGGAAATGGAGTCTGGAAACCAAATCACATATGCCCTGTGACCAATCCCCATAGCCATAGTTCCCTGGCAAATACAGACAGATATCTCTGTACTTTTTATACAAATTCATATCAGTCTCTAAATTAAACATATACTAGAACTGCAGAGGTTCCCAAGTACCACCAGAAGTAAACCTCATATAGTTTGACAAACTTTGTCATAATCCAAAGTTAGTTTTTTGAGACTGTCAGACATGTTATTGTCCTTTCCAAAACCCCACTTTTTTGTCTCTTCATGTAGCTGCCTTATATCTCCATGTTCACCTGTTGTATGTGTCGTTTCCAGATTTGACCTGGAGCAGAGCCAGACTCAGGCCGAGGCCCAGAGAGAGCGTAGCCAGAGGGAGAAACTGGCCCGTGAGAAAGACATCCTGACTGCTGAGATGTTTAACCTCCGTCAGCAGCTGCAGGTAAGCTACTCCCACATACACAGAGATGTACCCTGGCATCCTCTCCTGGGACCAGCTCTCTGCTCCTTCTGACATAACTGGGCTGTATTTGACATGTGCTTTATTGTACATCTACCATCTGCAGGACAAGGACGCAGAGCTGTGTGCGGCTAATGTGAAAGTGCAGCAGCTGGAGGCCGAGCTACAAGAAATTTCCTCCCAGGAGTCCAAGGATGAAGCCTCACTGGCCAAAGTCAAGAAGCAGCTCCGTGACCTGGAGGCCAAGGTCAAAGACCAGGAGGAGGAGCTGGATGAACAGGCCGGGACTATACAGATGCTGGAGCAGGTGCGACAACAATTCTGGGCCAAAATTATGACGTACTTTTGCTGTTCACAGCAGTTTTTTTATTCTCTGTCAGGATTGTTATTTTGAGGAAGACTTATTGTTCTTTTTTCAACCATACTATAATATACGCGCATCATTATCTTGTATTCTGTTCATTGTTAACCCTAATATTGATAATTAATAATAGAATGGAGTCAATTGACTTTTTTCTCTGTAACAGGCAACAGATTTTCATTCAGTTGCTTTTATTGAGAAAAATGACTATAAGACAGATTTGAAGCCTACATGTTTCTGGAGACAGAAATTTTTGAATAATAATTGGTAATTACAGAGCAGTGGCAGTGACTCTGAATAAGCTTGTGATGAGATAACGTTATGATATGGTTTAAAGCTCATAAAATTACATTTTGCATAATGTATACCCTTTAAAGATACAAAGCTTGCCTACAGCTTCTATTTTATTGCCACAAAAGATATTGTGCATTGTCATTCACAGGCCAAACTGCGCCTGGAGATGGAGATGGAAAGGCAGCGGCAGACCCACTCCAAAGATATTGACAGCAAAGATGAAGAAGTGGACGAGATCAGGCGTTCCTGTAGTAAGAAGGTAATTATATGATGAGTAGTAGACACATTATGCTGTTTTCAGGTATTTTTTTATATTGTGTTCACTGTGAAAAAAAAGTGCTTTGTGACATTTTGGCCATTTTTTGAGCAAAATTAAGCAAACATGCATAAATCAACTGAAACATAACTCTGAGGAAGCTAATACTGAGGGAACACCATTATGACATACTTAAAAGCTCATTAAAGCCAGTTTGTTATATACTACTGTATGTCCCTTTAAAATTCAAAGCATGTTGTCTTTTATTGTTGTTTGTAGTGCAGACCCAGTAATTGAGTTGATTCTCTGACAACAGGCTTTAGTTCTCATGTGCTTGTTGATGTGCCCTGCAGCTGAAGCAGATGGAGGTGCAGTTGGAGGAGGAGTATGAGGACAAGCAGAAAGTCCTACGTGAAAAACGAGATCTGGAGTCCAAGCTGTTGAATGCCCAGGACCAGGTATCCACAGTATTCTTCTATCTCTTCTCCTCTGGCCTCTGTCGCTGAAGTTAAGTGCATGTGATTGAGTGCAGCACTTGTATTTGATTGGAAAGAAACAGCTATTGAGTCTCAAGAGGAGCTGAGGATTTTTAAGTATGATGGAAATATAGAGTATTGTGACTAGAGGCTGCTGTTGTGTCATCTAGGTGAGCCAGAGGGATGTGGAGACGGAGAAGAGGCTGAGGAAAGACCTGAAGAGAACCAAGGTCCTACTGGCTGATGCACAGATTATGTTGGACCATCTGAAAAGTAATGCTCCCAGCAAGAGGGAGATCGCACAGCTCAAAAATCAAGTATGTCACAGAAGTATTTAGCGTACGTAGCTGTATTAGTGAAATTACAGGTCTAGCTTTATAGAATGGTTGCTATGGCATTTATGGTTAGACTGAAAACATAATTTTTCCTTAGTATTCATAAAGATTAGAGTTTTTAAAAGCTTTAAAATAACTGCTTCTGAATAACTGTACTTTTCTAAATGGCATTTCTTTTTAAGCTTAATGTGTATTGGTTGATATATCATCATCTCACATACAGATATTTTTTGTATATTTGATTAGAGCCCAGTATATGCATTTTTGATTTTTATCAAGTGAAAATAAATATATTGAATGTAATTGACTGTACAGAGAAAATGCAGTTGTGTTTGTTCACTAACCTAAAGGTTGTGGTTTTCATTACCTGCATCCAGCATCATATATAGTGCTTGCTAGTGTTTTCTTAGATTAATTTTTTTCATTGTTTGTGGATATTGTTTATATATCTACTCCATTGTTACATCTATTTCACTTTGTTACCCCTTAAGCTGGAAGAGTCAGAGTTCACCTGTGCAGCAGCTGTAAAGGCCCGGAAATGTATGGAGTTGGAAATGGAGGACCTTCACATCCAAATAGAGGACATCGCAAAAAATAAAATTTCGGTAAGATTTAATCAATCTGTATGTGCTAATTTATTTACATACATTCAAGATTTCACAGTCACTGTACAACATTTTAGTGATCAAATCCAGGCCGAATAAACAACAAATGTGGGTAATCAACAGAAGAGGTTGTAGATACAGGCAGTCTCTTGATTGAATATGCATACAACATCAAGGCATGGTGGATTTGAATCTAATCACTGCCCTTTGGCTTCTTTCTGATAGATAAATAAGTCCACTGCCTTTCTTCATCTGTTCGTTAATGGCTGCCTCATGAGACCTCTGCCTACACTTCACTTTCACAGACTGGGGTTGTTTTGGTCTCTGGGGAGGATACACATAGGGCTGTGTGCCGATTCTCTGCTTGTTAATTTGAGCAATTATAGCCCGGGAATGTCTGGTAAATGATTTATATTATAGAAAGCATACCGAAGGCCGGAGTCTCGCCCCTGAACACTAAGGATGAACTGTGAATAGGACATCACCAGTATGCTGCGCTGGGCTGGCTACACTTTTCCCCGCCTAAATGAGCCAATTGATTACCTCCAATTGGTCTCATCCTCCAGCCAGAGCGCCATCCACATTATGTTCTATTGCCATTAGATGAGATTCCAGGACTGCTCGGCTTGGCTAGCTAATAACCATTTATCATATTCAACAGCTCATGAATAAATCTTGTCATTCTCGACTAAATTCTGTTTCCCTTTCACTTTGCGCAGTTGGAGGAACAGGTCAGCCGTCTGCAGAGAGAAAAGAACGATCTTCAGTCCAGAATGGAGGAAGACCAAGAGGATCTAAATGAACTGATGAAGAAACACAAGGCTGCAGTCGCCCAGGTAACATAGTCTGAAAGCATAATAGAAGGAAGGATGTGCATACTAGTTTCACAGTTTAAGCAGTGGAGAAGTCTACATCTAAATTACTTTCTTTAAGGAAATATAGTCAAAGAAAAGAATTAAAGTTTAAGAAATGAGAGAGTTAAAATTGTAGAACCAAAATAAATGCATTCTCAAAACTGGGTGACCTATGAAACTTTTAGTGGGGGTCAGCCACTTGCTCATCCCAGTGGACATGTTTATTGCTTTGCCTGGGATGTTCCATAATATGCCATTAAACTGATCAATCTCAATAAGCAGGTGATTAAAAACGTTTATAATTGAACACATGCATGATAGATAAGGTTAATGCTATACCATGGAACATTCAAAGCAAAGCAATATCATCTCTACTTGAAAAGAGGTGGCAGACCCTCCGCCAGAAAAGTTATTGTACATAATGCACCTTTAACTTACACACACAACTAGAAACATCTACACAATTTTACATAACTGTTACTTTACAATACAGTATCAGAACATGCAGTAATACTAACATTATTTCAGTCTTGCCAATACTTCTACTGAAATATGACCGTCGACTGTTGTAGTCTGCCAGGGACTTGAACCAGATCAGCGACCTGCAATCCCAGCTGGAAGAGGCCACAAAGGAGAAGCAGGAGATCCAAGAAAAGGTACAAGGAGGCACTGAAAAGCTCTGCGGGCAGCTGCCAGGAACAGGCCCGCTGCCTCAACACAGCGTTCTGATTAGCCCACTGCCTTCTACACAGGCCTTCTGATTGTCACAGAAATACTGCGTTTCTATGGTAGTTTGCTTCTCAAAAGTCTACTACAATTTGCATATAAATAGTAAGACGCAGTAGTTGCGTAGTCAGGTTTTTTTGGCATATTTTAAAAGCAGGATCTTCTGATAAATCCAGCAACTCAATTTGATTGTTTTAGTGTGTGTTCATTTGCATTTTCAAATATGTCACACGGATTATCATATTGCTAAGAAAGCATATTTATTAGTTTATAATGCCTAGTTTTGGCAAAATTGGCCATAAACATGTTATACAATACTTTCACAATTAACATCCATCAAATGCTTCAGCGCTCCCTGCTAACATAAAAGGTACTTTCAGAGGCTCTGTTTTGTTTGTACACTGTGGCTCATTAATTAAATGGGTGAGGCTGGGCATCAATGCAGATTGGTGTGGTTAAAAGGTTAATGCACCTGATTCAACGTTATGCACATAAGCAGCTTTTATGTTGTTTTTCTCTGAAGATGACCTCCAACTCTTCATGTGTGGATAAAATCATGTTTTTTCATTTTGGTTATGCATTTTGTCCACACAGTCATCATTAGCTAAGATGAGGATTCAATTTAGCAGCAAATAATGCCGTAGATCATCCTCATTTATTTATTTATTTTTTATATAAATATATATTTTTTTTAAATCACAGTATAGTCATAAAAGATTTACAAGATTTACCAAAAAAAGTGTATGGGTCACATTGACTCCTAAATATATAAATCCTGAAGGGCCATCCGCATTTATTTAAATTAATTTTATTTTTACAGTTATAGCAAAGGAGAATTCAGTGTCAATTGGACAAGCATTATTTGGGTTGAAAACGTTCCAAGCTGCTTTTTCAGTTCTGGTCAGAACTCTGGTGGACATTGCCTTATATCTGCCTGCAGGGAGGAGCTAACTACTGAAACTACTCTGAAACTAACACCCTCAGAGTAGTTTCAGTGTAGTTAGCTCCTCCCCGCAGGCACTAAATTTCTCCTTTGCCTTGAATTCTATCAGGACGACTGAGGGATTCTACACATATTTTACAGCTATATATTGCAATGGAATCTAAATTGTAATTTCAGGTGGTAGAATTATCAAATTGCAAAGGCTGCACTTATTCAGATAATAGTGTATCTTCTGCAAAAAATAAAAATAAATAAAAAATCTGTTACCTATACCTGTAGTTAGATCTCTAAATTTAAATTTTATGATTATGAAAAAAAATCTCTTAATTTCTATAATTTGAACATCAAATAATACAGTTGGTTACAGCAAATCTTTTCTCCATTACTGTCTGCCCTCCCCAAGTCACAGTAGAGCCCTGTACATTGTTAAGAACTGTCACAGACATCAGTGATTGCCATCTAAAGCATCTGACCTTCAAGTGGTTATCTCATCCTGGGAGGCGTGCGGGCCTGTATCCTTCCTAGTATCAAAGACTCACTCTAAATCCTCCTCCTCTTAGATGTGAAGTCGTTCATTAGCTACTACACTGTCTTTGGGGCCAGTTTGATTTCAGCGTGCCTTTTATCAGTTGGAGGAAATGTTTCTTTTTTCATTATGACTTCTTTTACTCAAAGCCCATGTTATTCCCTATGACCCATAATGTCCTCTTTTTGGAAGACAGAGATGAGAGAAAGAGGTTGCAGTTCAAAAGCATGATAAATAATATATATACCAAAGGAGTGTTCAAAGTGCTTAGATCCTGATAGAGCCATTCAAACATTCAATAAATTTACACTATCTACTTACTTAAAGTTTCAGAAAAAAAGCAGTTAAGACATGTTTAATTGTACTATAACCGAAATATATTCTTGAAACAGAAATGTTACTGAAATGTGAAGATCGACTCTCTAGCCTTTCTGACTGACAGGGACCAGATCGAGAGGTTACGGTTCAAAAACACCATAAATAAGATTGAAAAGTAGATTGTTGAAGTGCTTAGAGATTGATTCTGTGTGAGTTTATTGAATGTTTTGTGTGTCCTCCACAGCTCCACTCCCTGCAGAGTCAGCTGGAGTTTCAGGAGCAGTCGATGGTGGAGAAGTCTCTGGTCAGTCGGCAGGAGGCTAAGATTCGAGAGCTGGAGACCAAAGTGGAGTATGAGAAGACCCAAATTAAACGCTTGGAGGTAAGATTACTCATTTTATCCTGTTTACCTGTCTGATCGTCTGCATGCCACACAGCTGGTTTGTCACTGTCAGTGTCACCACCAGAACAGTCAGTGTGTTTGATTTAAAGGTGACGCTCTGAACAAGGTGCAATGTCTTTCCTTAAAACTGTTTACATTTAGGGGAAGAAGAAATTTATAATTTCACCTGATTTCAAATCCATTTATTCATGCTGAGAGTGCATTAGACACTACAACTGTATTGCAGCAGTAGTGATTACACTCTTTTGCTGTTATACTTGATGCAAACTTTACAATCTCACTTCAGAGTTTAGTGACCCGTTTAAAAGAAAATCTGGAGAAGATGACTGAGGAGAGAAACCAGCGCATCGCAGCAGAGAACCGTGAAAAAGAGCAGAATAAGAGAGTCCTGAGACAGATAAGGGACATGAAGGAGGAGATGACCGAGCTGTCCAAGAAGGAGGCAGAGGCCAGCCGCAAAAAGCATGAACTGGTACAGCCCTGTGTGCTCTACAGATAACTTAAAGTAGATAGCACTCACTAAAATGTAATCTTTTCACCAGGAAATGGACATAGAGAGTTTAGAAGCAGCCAACCAGAGCCTACAAATGGATCTGAAACTGGCCTTCAAAAGGATAGGTGACCTGCAAGCAGCCATCGAAGACGAGATGGAAAGCGATGACAATGATGATCTTATAAACAGGTAGAATGCATTTTCAGTCTTGTAGAGTTTTATACATGAAAGTTCCAGCTAGGCAAAAATGAAGTGCAATAATCTGCTTAGTGTAGAACAGCAAGTTTTCATTTTCAAAGGGCTGTCAGTCACGACCTAGTCCTTTTTCATATCTCCCACGTTGCCACATCAAATCCTCTCTAACCTCCTTTGTACTCCCACCAATGCGTTTAATTTGATTCCTTTATTTCGTCTCTACTGGTTTCCCATGTTTGCACGGAGGTTGAGAGTCGTGCTAACTGTGAAGTTGCCCAGGTAAACAGTGGTACAGACTTCTTCAGGAGATCAACTATATATATATATATATATATATATATATATATATATATATATATATATATATATATATATATATATATATATATATATATATATATATATATATATATCATATATATCATATATACCAGCACTGTTTGAAAAAGATTCATCTGATTCAGTATGTCAGATGTTGCATTATGTTATATTATTTTATTGGGTACCACTTATTATTGTATGCGCATCTCACTTTTTCCTTTTTCTTTTTTTCTTCTGGCAGTTTGCAAGATATGGTGACAAAATACCAGAAACGAAAGAACAAAACGTGAGAATGAAAAATGCATGCCTTGCCTCTCACCCATTTTAACAGCATGGTAGAATAATGCAGTATTACTTTATATTTGCTGTGTGGATAAGGCATATTTTTAAAGAACGGCAACTCATACAAGGACTGCGTATCTCTGATAAGAAGGATGCCCCTGCTGTTTCAGTTTGCTTTTATTTCATGCTTTCAGTTGTTCCAGGTGTCGGCTCACAGTCTGCCTGGTCGGAGGTTATACAATATCAGAGAATATAGCAAGATCATTTTATTTAAAGCCCCACTGCATATGATTTTTGCCAAAAAATAGAATGAAATAAAAATTACCACCTGTAATGAAGTAAAAAAAAAAAAACTAAGGGGGCTAGACCTGACTTATCACTTTACATGTGGACTTATAATACACTGAGGCACACTATCTGCTTGTCTCCATGGAGAGGTTTACTTTGCTTTGAACATTCTTTACTTTGCCTTGAACAATGAATAGCATAAAACTGAGCTATCTCCATGGTGAAGGTTCCAAAGTTTGGTGTTAACTTTCTATCTCCCTGGAGACATGTAGGAGGCGTACCCCCTACCAAGAAATCTTACTTCCGCTTTAAGATAAGCCAAACCAAATGCCTCAAATTCACACATTCTTTCTTTAACCAGAGTGCTTGAGAATATGCCTGAGCATGAGCAGAAAAGCAGCAAATAGTAATTGACCTGCTGTGATACTCCATCATTGTCTCCATGAACATCAACAGCCATCATCATTTTGCTAAATTTGAGCCCTCTTCAGAGGCCTTCATCTTCTGCATTTGTTTGAAATCATGGCTGCTGCTGAATTCATTCATTCCCTCAGTAATTTTCTCCTGCTACCATTCCAAATAACTTAGAGCAAGTTAATTCCAGTTCATTTGGGGAAAAATATTTGACATTTTTTGATTCCCAAAATGTGGATGTTATTTTTGACACTGTAATTTTGTGTTAAAAAACAATTTTGCATGTCCACACATTTTACATTGTGCATTTTTACTTTATACAAATCATGCTTTCCATTCCTGATGCATGTTTTGATAATTCACTCAGAATTTACCCCAGAACTAGATTGAGGGTCTGTGGTTCCTGTTTTGCACACTGGGTATTTATATCATTGTTACTATAAAGTCCAGGCTACAAGGCTTCATGCATGCCTGCACATTAGATAAACCAGTGCATGTATTTTTCTAATCTCCTTTGCTGGGAGTAGTGAAGCACTTTATATTCATATTGTTACAAATGATCACCTTGGTAGCATGGTAATGCTTAGTCATCAATCTGAATTCTAATTGTGTTTTCAAAAGCTTTGTGTTTGACTAAATTCGATATCCAGGTATTTTGCAGGAAACTATTCATCGCTTGTAAAATAATTTGAACATTTATCCTAGTATATGGAAGTGTAGCCTTTAGTTTAATGCTGACACTGTTACAATCTGCAGCCTTAACCCCTGATTGCTTTTTTGAGAAATCAGCATTGGGCTTGTTGTTTCTTTTATCGCCCTTTTCTGTTCACACAAATCAAGAGTGCCACTGCATTTAGTTTGTCTTTGTGCCCCTTAGTAGGAAAAAATACTTATGTTTCCTGAGAAGCCTTTTTGTCCTTCAGTGTTATTGAATTAGCAGAAAGACACACACAAATTGTTTTTCTTGTAATTTTCAAGTAAAATTTCCAAATAGATTATGCATCCAAAAACTGCAGTGCACAGCAGTTAATTTCAGAATCTCATTTTAAACTATTTAAACCAGTTTAAAGGTGCATTATGTAAATTTCTGGTTGGGGGTCTGTCACCTTACTTGCTGCCTGGAATGTTCCACAGTATGACATTAAACAGCTCAACCTTACATTTATTCAACTATAAGTGGTTTTATAGCTCAAAAATACCTAGAAAAAAAGGCATTTGGACTGTGAGCGAGGTTGCCTCTACACAGATCTGACCTGCAGCTTGATCTGGTTTGGTCTCCATGACGATAGAAAGGTTTAATGCTATACTGTGAAATATCCCAGGCAAAGCAAGAACATCTTCATGGAGAAAAGCTTTTGATGGACACTCCAATAGAAAAGTTACACAATGCACCTTTAAGCCAGTGTAGTCTATATTTATTCAGAAACTCAACAGTGATCTTAGGCAAAGGTAAATTTATTTATAAAGCAAAATTCATGTAAGAGCAACCCAAAGTGCTTCACAAACACAGAAATACATGATCAATAGTAGATGGTACTTATTGTGAAACGTGGCTTTTTAATATCAGTGAAGTAGTAATAGTTTTGTTAAACATAATGTATTAATAACATATCATTTATCCATTTACTTTGTGTCTATTAGATGTGTAACTTGTGTAAAACAACACTTCTGTAGCTATACCTATACCTATTACATAATTACCCAAATGCAAAGTTTGTACTGAAACCTGACCCCTATACTTTTCTAGCGGTAAACTTATAGAACCAAGCCATATCCAGAGTTTGATACTGACTGTAAACATTTGTGACAGAGATTTACAACGGCTGCAGCCCAATTGTCAGAAGCGATTAATGTTCACTTCTAAATTCTTGGGGCTTTGGTTGTATCTACGAGCCTCAGGACTGGTTAGCTACTGTGTGAAACCAAGGACAAATCGCTTGTGACACCATTTGCAAAGCACTCAATTGCAAGCCACCTTTTATTTTGTTTATGTGTGTTCTGGTGAGTGGGGGATAAAGGGGATCATTTAGCTGTGGGGGGTTTCACTAGTTGTTTGGGCAATAAATCATGCTAAAATAGGGGGGATTACGGTGTAGGCAGTATAATCAACTTAACACTGATAATGAAGCTATTTTTTCATGGAGGAGTATGTGTGGTGGTGTAAATTTGATTTTCGCAGCATTAGGTCAGTGTATTTAGGCCTGAACTAGCTAAATACCAGTTCCAATACAAGTAAAAGGGCATAATAAAGCTATTGGTAGCAGGTCTGTTACCAGTTCATTTTCTTAACACAATTTTTATATTTATGCAAAATACCTGGTTGAAGATGAGATGTCTCCTTAACACTGACTACCTTTCTATGATAAGTAGTAAAACTAAGTAACAATAGAACCTCTGCTAACAGAGTACCAGCAGTGCCATCTTTTATGAAAATGCTTTTAAGCAACCCACCAGAAAGGAGCAGCCACAGAGAGGACACTTTGTTCTTTAGAAAACCAGAGTGAATGTGAAACACAATGCACAGTGACACAGCAAATAGTGTGCAGTTCAATGGGAGCATAGACACATGTCTGCACTATGTGGACAAATGACTGAACTCAACACTCCTCCACTGGCTGGTTCAGGTATATTTACTATTTTTGGTGTAAACATTTTACACATGGTAAGATTAGCTTGTTTCAGATAAAAGATCTGTTATTTGTTGTGCCTCTCCTCATTTTTAATGACAGTCAGCTGTCAAAATGTACTCGGCACAGCTAAATCTTTAATTCAACAAGAGTAAACAAGGTGCGCATTTTAGATTGATGAAACATGACAGTTTGAAAGCTGCGTCAGGTAGGAGCATAAATAACTGTAATTCTAACATGACAGGTCAAGCATACTCACAGGACTGTCATTTATCACCAAATGTAATCTTCATTTAGAAAAAGATTCATCCAGCCCTGTGTCTTTAAAATATACAAAGTTTTCTCTTTTAAACAAACTCAAACCACCAATAAAAAAATGAAAGTCAAATGTGGCCTTCACAGCATCCTTGAGCTGCTTTTAAACTGTAATGTGGAATTGATTTTCACACATCAAGTATATGCGGGCGCCAATGCCATGTTTGGAGAAGCTAGTGTAGAGAGGTTGAATTTTACATCAATATATTCCACACATTGCAACCATTAAAGCAACACTGATGTGATTTCACTCATCCATGCCATTTCCTGTCACATTAACCTTCCCTCACAATGGGATGCATAATTCAAAAACATTCACCGCTGATCGGAGACAAATGAAAGAGGATTGACCTTATCCAAGTGGGATCTCCTGTGCTTTTTCACTGGGATCCAGGGGTCTGCATGTATTGATTGTTATGTCAGGAGTAAGGCCACGAGGCTGTCTCATGGCTCCACTCCAATAACGATCACTAAGAGTAGGTGACATGCCACGCAGATGCTCCCAGCCCAAAAGCAGCAAAACAAGTTAATTATGCCTCCCAGTGCATCATCTATATTCTGTCCAGATCACGACTTTGCCTGACTCTTTCACATCTGTTTATCATTCTGTGCTATTTTTACACCACTGGCTATCAAACTAATTGCATTTAATCTGTTGGAATTCTAACCTCTGCACTTTGAGATTAAAATTAACATTACATTAATTTTATATATCAACAAACCTTGAAAGTGGAAAGTAAGAGACATCACCACATCTACCTGTTAGAATAATGTTTTATTTTTTCACAGTGGCGATGAAACTGAGACCGATTCGGAGGTGGAGGATCGTGTGGATGGAGTTAAGTCTTGGCTTTCGAAGAACAAAGGCACAGCTAAACCCCAGCCAGAAGAAGGCAGTCTGAAGAGCACTAGGTCAGTCCAATCATCCTTATGCATCATGACACATCACCACAGCACATCCCATCGCTAACACTGCGATAAAACCTGCAGCATTTCCAGGATTACCCAGGGCACTTTGCTGCAGACGAACGGGTATTTCCTATGATTAGGTGTCATTGCTCTCTTCCAGTAATCTGTCTAATGACGGGAGGCAGAAAGGGAAACGGCTGCTGTCAGATTTATTGAAGTGGCCCATGGCGAGTTGGCACGCCTGCTAAATGGTGTCTAGCCTCAGTAATATTGCCTTCATCCCTGGCTGATTACTTCACTTACTGTGTACTGTACATAACAGCAATCAGCAGGGATGAATCTACCCTGGTCCCAAGGGCAAAATGAAAATGACAAATTGACAGTCTAATGTCGAAGTCTTGTGCCAAAATCACTATAGCTCTGTGTGCCATGTCCTTCCTCTTCCTGTGCTTGATTGCTAGTGTTATTTTTCTCTAGATATGCAAATGCAGCAAATGCAGATGTTGTCGATGTAAAAGAAGGTAAGGAGAAAACCACAGATGGAGGGAAAGATGGAAAAGTGGAAGTGGAACCTCTCCGATCAGTGTCTGTCATGAGTTCACTGAGCTACAGGAAGCGCTCCAACCTCAAGGACTCCATAGGGGGCACTGGTGATGAGAGCTCACTCTTTAGCACTCTGAAAGAACAAATGGACACGCCAGACCACGCTTCTATCCGCAAATCCAAGTCCAAACCCGGAGACCAGCAGGATGACTGGAAGAAGAGCCAGGCTTCAGACGATCTGGATGACAAAGGATCCGTCATCTCCATGGCCTATTCAGAAGCCACCAGTCGGGCCAGGAAGAGCTTTGATTCCCGCTGGACATCCAAAAGCAGCCCTGAGTACGACAAGGAGTCAGTGGTCTCTTCTGTTCGGCTTTCCACCAGGAGCAGGGGAATGCTAGACTTGGACGATGACGATAACAAGTCCACTATCAGCAGTGTTAGCCGCACAAGTCCTCGCTCTGTTCACCGAAGTTCCTCCTGGAAAGACGAGAGAAGAAGCAGCTCCCGTTTGTCTCTAGCACGAAGCTGTGGCCTTAGCGAGTTCGGCCTCAATGTTGACGACGACGATGATAGTCGCAGTGTTGCTTTTACAGAGGGAGGCACGTCCGCTTACAGCCCACGCTCTCTCAGTCGAAGTTTCTCCAACCCGGGTCAATCCACCACAGCAGATCTACCAGAATTGTCCGACATCAAAACTGTCTCTCACCGCAACTATTTAGACCCCGATCTGGAGGCTGCCATCAATGAAGTGCTAAGTTTCAAGCCTATTAAGTTCAAACGCAGCAAACTTGATGAATCTAGTGAAGAGGAAGGTGAGGATAAGAAAAGAGAAGACAGTCGAAAGAAAGATGATGAAGGATTGGGTACTTCTAGCTCGGCTTTGGACTACAGAAGTCGTCCGTCAAGCACTTTGAGCACCAGCAGCTCCAGAAGCCGCAGAGATAAAAAATCCAAAGTCTCTCTATCTGATGATTCTTCTTCAGATGATAGACACAGTAGAAAGAGCTCCAGGGGGAAGAAAGGCAAAAAATCTAAGAAAAGAGGAAAGAAAAAAGTTAGCGAATCTGAATCTTCATCCTCTGAGTCTTCATCATCATCAGAGTCATCTTCGGGGTCCACCATCTCGTACCGCAGCTCCAACAGTGTTAAAAGAGCGCCAACTAAAGGATCTGATGATGAGAAGGAATCAGCAGGGCCAAGTAAAAAAGATAGTAAGAAGAAGCAGAAGAAAATGGACAGTTTGGTGATGAAGTACCTCTACAAGCCAGACAGCGACTGAGCCCACACAAGCAGGTGATGCCTGGTGTGAATATATAAGCAAGAAGTCAACTCATTTTGGTTGATGCATGGTGTGGTTGACAATAACACTAATAAAAAAAGTATCTGTGATTGGATTTTCAGCAGCACACATAGTTTAAAGGTGCATTGTGTAATTTTTCTGGTGGAGGGTCTGTCAAAAGCTTTTCTCTTTTCTTCATGGACATGTTATTGCTTTGTCTTGAATGTTTCACAGTATGGCATTAAACCTTTCTATCTACATGGAGACCAAACCAGGGTAAGTTACAAGTCAGATTTGTGGAGAGGCAACCCCACTCACAGTCCGAATGCCTGGTTTTCTAGGTATTTTTGAGCTATAAAACCACCTGTAATGTAATAAATATATGGTAGAGATGTTTAATGTCATACTGTGGAACATTCCAGACAGACATATCCATAAACAAGCAGGTGACAGCCCACAACGAAAAAGTTACATCTAAAAAAGTTACATAGTGCACATTTAAGCATCTGACCTGTCCATGTTCAAAATCATCCCAAAACTGTTCATATACTCGAACACTAACCCAATAACTGACAGCACAAACTCTATCTAACATATGTTGTATAGATAGTCTCTTCTTATAAAAAGCACAATCACTTTACATACACAATATAACTTTCAGCCACCATAAGCCTCTCAGGAAGTGTATTCTATGTAGAAGAGGAAGCAAAGTACTTTCTATTTTGTAAAGATGAATTGTGTCTCTTGGAGTGCCAGTGCTACTCCTAATGATGTTTTTATAGCCTCCTAAGTACAGAGTCTTGGTATAAAACAGTGTCTAGTGTTGTAGCGCTAACAGATGTTCAAAATGAGACATCTTGTGCAGTGAAAAGAGTTTAAAGATGTTCAACATGACTGTTATTTTAGTGGATAATGTGCATCATAATTAGGAAAAACAAAAACTAAATTTAGCTTTGGAGTGGGTTTCAAAGGGCTATCTGTTTAAGAGAAATGTATTGACAGTTACAGCATCTGTCTGTCCTCTGTTAGTCTAAAACATGCATGCCAAAGTGAGTCATTATTTTGGGAGGACAGTTGCCCTTGAACACTCTCTCTCCACTGGAGTATTAGCTTCTGCATAAATAACAGAGAAGTGTTAGATTGGATTATTATACAAGCTCATTTAGACTAAGGTTATTCTGTAATGCAGTTTCATAAAAATACTTTCATCATGAGAGACCAATCTGAATTACTTATTTAGTACATGGTTGATGTTGACAAGTCTTTTAACACTTAATCATAGACAAAAGAACGTATTATTTATCATCTAATAACACAAAGTTTTCAGCGTTTCACACCAACACAATATTTTGGCAGTGAATGGGTGAAGTTTGACACTAGACACTTCCACATATGTGACACCTCTGAATACATAAGTTATGCATTGCAACCACAGTGAGACTTCTGTCACTGAGCCTTGTGTTGGCTGCTTTGTCAGACTTGCATAGTATTGGCTCTTCAGTTTTTATAACTTTTTATAGAAATAATATTTAGACTTTTTTAGTTTTTATTGTCGAATTAAAAACAAAGAAACACTAAAGCATTTTACAACTTCACACCCTCCAAACAAGTGTTATTTTTAGTTTTAGTCAAGGTTTAATAAAATAATTTTTTGTTTTAGTGTAGTTTTAGACAGTAGAAATGTCACGTTCATTTTGGTAACTAACTCCGTAATACTTGAAACTAGTTTAAAAAACACATTTTTAACTATGATAAATTGTATTGCACTGATTTATGGGAGATCAACAAACCCTGGATGTTTAGTTTATTTATGATCTGGTTTGGGGCTGAAAAATAAAGCTTCCTTTTGTTCATTTTTGTTTCGTTTTTAGCATTGGACAAGAATATCTGTGCTTTCAGTTGGAAATATTTACATTTGGTCTTAGTTTTTTATCAACAAAAAGTGTAATTTTCCTAATAGCTTTAGCAAAAATTTGAGAATATGACAAATTAACCCTGATCTAACAAATAAGACTCATGTTGTTACCTTTCCTTGCATGTGAAGTCAGTATTTGTCTTAGAGTGACTTTGTCTCAATCTGTATACACCATTCAAATGCTCAATACAAATTTCTATCTCCATGGAGACCTGTTGTTTACTGCAGAGGGAGTAGCTTAAATTGCTTGCGGTTTCGCTGTACTATATTTTAATAGCAAGTTTTTCTTCTTTTTCTTCCTATTCAGTTTTCTAGCCGATAACGATCTTATGGTGTTGTGTTTTTTGTTCCCCACAGCCCTCCTGTGTGCCAGAGCAACCCGGTTTTGGGCAGATCTGATGAGGAAGACAAGGTGGACAAAGACTCCAGCAGGCAGTCCCCGAGGCACAGCAACACCGCAGACCAAACTGAGGTCACATAATGCTTCCAGACACAAAACGTATAATTGTATTCTACAAACTTTTCAACGCCTCTAGAGACAAGGCCCATTTTTTCACCATCATTTGCTATTGTCAAACATGCACTGCAACTTGAGCGCTATCAAACCAACTTCCTGTCACTACTTTATACTAAAAAAGCTGATTTAAAAGCAACTTTTAAGCTCCCGTCAGAACTGTACTGTCAGAGTGTTGAGATAGCTTCGCCAAGAGGATTTAGATAAGCCTGAACCAAGGAGGGCCAACCAACTATTAGGAGCGCTCTTATCTCCCTGTACTTAATGTGGAGGAATTAACCCATTTGCTATTAATGACCACCCCCTAATGGGAAGCAGTTACATGTAGTGATTGTTCACGGGTCAAGATCTTCGCTGTATGTATGACATGTGAGATATTTATCATCGAAAGCAATTGGCACTGAATATTAATGGCTGATATTAATTTATTTTAAAGAAATTATCTATATTGTAAGTAAGATGCTGAGTATGCTTTAAAATTAGACTATTTTATGTATTTCTAGGAAAGGTTTTATTGGTTCCCAACTTGGTTTTTAACATTATTGTAAAAATGGATTTGGCTAGGGAGAAGGATACATTATTTTCCCTCACCCCTTTTTTATTACTGCAGTCCTGTTAAACAAGGGCAAAAATAAAGTAGAGAATAAAAAATGTCTAGACTAGACTCTAGTTGAGAACCAATGAAGCAGTTAAATATGCAATGTGTTATCGCAGCATTTTTTAATATTATTGATGCAAAAAACTTGGAGTGACTTTCCAGTTACTTTGTGTTTTTATTAAGTTTTTGACTTGCCTTCACCTTTACTTAAATAGGCCGGAAAAATCTATATTTTTGGAGGCTTGTTGTGAACCTTGAAATAAGGCCAAATTGATTCAGCAATAAAACTTGGCCCTTCCAATTTGTGGTGCCAAACCGAATATACTTACAAGCTTAACTTATTTTACAAGTGTATTAACAACAAATATTAATCTATAGACTCTGTAACCAGTGCAATGGCTTCTGTTATGCATCGTTTGAGCAGTTTCCTTCTATGACAAAGAATGTAATGCTAGTAATGTAAATAAATAAGCATATGAATAAATAATAAAAAGTATTTTACTGGGTAAGAGTACCATTACAGAGGACAACCATTTCTAAAAACACCTTTGTACCAATGTAATTTTCTCCTCCAATTCACATCCTGTATCTGATTTCAGAGCTACAAACAGAATTGTACAATGAAGCATGCAGCATTTGGCCTTATGGAATAATAATGACGATCTAGATAACATGACCTTATGAATTCTAAACTCTATTTAAATACACACAGGTAGATATTAATGGAGGCCGCGCCCTATATTTGTGCATAAATTCACCAAAGCCTCAAATGCCTGACTCGCTATTTGCATATCTTCCCAGTAGAAGGTAATCTGCATTTCTTGTCTTCTTTCTTTTTTTCTGTCTTAGCCTCAGAATATTCATGTGAAAACGCAGAAAACTTTGATGTGAGAGCCTCATAATAGAGAGATGTTAAGTAGGTAAAAATAGAACCAGTATTTATTGATATTTTCATACAAAGTAAGTGACATTTTAAATTGTTTTTCATTAAAATCATCTGTTACCTTGACCTTGAGAGTGAATAAATACAGACTTTGATTTGCAAGCTTTTTGTTTTTGAATTTATCTGTAATTTGAATAGAACTTGTGTAACTAGGACATCGTAAACAATCAAAGAAAAAACACTTCAAACAAAGAAAACATATTGGGATGTTATTATCATATAAGATCAGTGTTTTACATGTTGCTAATTGTAAACAATAATATAGATCTAAAACTGCTTAATTAATAATAGTAAATTAATTAAATTCCTGTTCAAAACTGCAGAAATTAGGAGCCCTATCTCTTAATAGCAGTATTTCACCATAAGCAGCATCTTTATTTACATGTTTTTATTGATGAAAAATGGTGGGCAGAGCTAGGGGGTAGGGTGAAACAGTCATTTTCTGAGCAATCATGCCTTGAATGCAGAACAGTACAGGTCTATTAAAACATGCATGAATCAACTGAAGAAAGAAATACTAGTAGTAAGCTAATGCTGATGGCACACTGATATAACATGCAAAAATTTAAATTTTCCATTAATGAATTTCTTGGCTTATTTGGGCTGTCATCAGCTGAGTTACCAATTATATACATACACATTTCCAATACTTTAAATGCAAGTCTTATTATTCTGCATGATAAGACACACCATACAGATTTGGCATAAACCCATCTGATTTTCCCGATTAATTTTAGCTCGTGTCTCCCTGTAGCATCTCATCACGCCCATCCAGCTTTCCCAGGAGTCCATGGAGGAAGCAAACAATTCATATACACTGATTAATTCGGAGCAGTTGTGGAGGCAGACTGCAACGATTCTCACTCTACCTCAGCTTGTTAATATGAGCTGCACCGTGCAAAACCAGCTTGGGGCAAATTCTCAAAGATAAAATAACCCTTTTCTTCTACAGTGGTGAGGCTTACAGATCCAAACATACTGATAGTTTTACATTGCCACCTTGGATGACATTGTGAGGGCTCTCTTTTTCAGAATCCCCAATTTATCTAGCAATCTAAAATCCTCATTCTTATACACAAACTTGTCCTATAGACCAGCGCCGTGGAGATTTGGCTGTAATTTCACTTCATCCCCTGGGCGGCCACATGTTTCCGCTTAAAGGCTTTCTTTTTGAGTGACAGATTAAATTTGGGGCCTGATTTGACTTATTTTGGTTCGAACACCGTTTCACAAACCACTGGAGCAGGAAGTGATTAGTTTCAAGCAAGTCAGTGTTCACGGTGCCACCCTTGCACTTATTTTAACTGAATGGTAAGGCCAAAGATGGTCACTGTTGCTATATGAGTAATCCTGCTAAGAAATACAATCAGGCATAGACTTTACTTTCTAAAGGAGTAATGTGCAATTAGTTAATGGTTAAAAGACACAAGGACACATTTTAATTAATCTCATTCATCATATTGTAGTGATAACATGTGAATACTGATATTTCTTCTACTGTATGTGTCCTCTGGGTTAGGAAAGGTTCAATGTCTTTTCAATGGATAAGAAAGTAATATGTGAAATTCCAACCATCAGCATCCAACCTAGTGAAAAATAAGTTGAATGCTGCCACAGGTGGAAAGCTTACATTTACATAGCTGTAAATGTACTCGATTACAAGTAAAAATACTGTTGCCAAATTTGAAATGGTAACATAGGAATTTGTAATTACGGGAGGTACTTTAATGCTCACAAAAGTTTCCTCTTTTTGGATGAATTTCTTAGTTTTTTGTGAAATGCCTCTTTCAGATCTTATTCAAAGTTATTGGTTCACACCTTTAAAGGTCCCATGTTACACTATTTTCTGATCTATGTTATAATGTTGTTTCTTCATCAAAAACGTACCTGAAGCTGTGTTTCGTTTCATTCACACATGTTTAACACACAAACCCAGCAGATATACGCGTTCTTCTATCAAATGGAAAACAATCTGTTCCACTTTGTGATGTCTACTGTGTTTTTAAACTCCTTCACTAGAATCATTTGGATAATTTCAGCCCTGGAATTGACGATCTGAACTCAAGGTAAAAGCTAGCTCTTAACTTGAAAATTACTCTAAAAGGGTTACTCAAACATGTGTGAATGAAACAAAACACAACTCAGGTATGTTTTGAAGAGGTAACAGCATTATAAAATGACTGAAAGCTCACAAGAGTGCAAGAGTGCTCACAAGACCTTTAAGGATTTAAGAAGTCAGTGAACAATGGTCTTTTGAAACTGTGGCTTTTAAACCAGAGGCAATAACTTCTGTACCCAAAATCTACCCCAGTGACCCTCATATTTAGCCCTTCTCTGAACAGCCCCAATGAAATAGTTTGAATGTGTTGATCAGTCTTCATCCTCCTCTATTAACGTCTCCGTCTGCAGCTTGGCGTCTGCTGTCAATAATGCCTCTGATTGGAGACTGTGGGACTGAGCCTGCAGGGACCAGGTGAGAAGGCTGCTGCGCTCATTTGCAATTCGGAGATGAAAAGACACAGGCGGGTGTGCTGCTTGGGTGCCTCTCTTTGTTTGCACATATCATTTCCACTCTAATGAACACTGCACAGTAGTGGGCCCTTGTAACGAGGCTCAGAGGTACTCGCAAACATTGTTTACATTTTGCATAGGTCTTCACTGGGCTTTGGGACCATTAAAAAGAATTTTCCCTTTTTAGGAGTAAGAGCGGTATCATTTTCAGAACACCTGTTGGATTTAATCCTGTTACATTTAAGTTATATTGAAACACAGCCTATGTATGTTCTTGAGTAATAATGTTTTATAATGATGGAAATAATCATCATTAGCAATTTTGGCTTCTTCTGTAGTTAATGTACATTTCTGATATTTTAGAGGCAAAAGTACATTTGTGACATGTCATTCACATGTTTTTATAAAACTGTTTTAACAGTATTTATCCTACAGTGTCTTACAAATTGGTGTTGTAACCAAATTATATTATTTTTTAATAATTTCAAAAAATAATAATAATTTAATAATTGTATTTATTAATAATTCAGTAGCTACTCCTTATCAAGTTCTGGCTGTTAAATTTTTTGCTGCAGAGCAAAGCTGAAAGGAAATTAATTGAAATGCTTACAGACGAAAAGTGTTCATGAACATTCTGAGTGTAATATTTGTGCCTGTATCTTTGCTCAGCACTTTGCAGGTGTCTCCTGCTGTGCAGGGAGCTGTGCAGTGCTCAGTGTCCCTGCCAAAGGAGAGTGGTTGTCCCTGTCGCTCTCCCTGCCTCGTGTGTGGGGCTGTGGAGACTGGGAAATGAAGTCCCAGGAAGTAACTGACTGGTCCACAGTATTTGAAAACATTCCCTTTAAAGAACTGCAAAATACTGTTATTTCTAAAGTTGGCCAGAATGTGTATTTGAGTAGTTGGTTTGACGTCTATGTTAGGGGC